TTGAGTGATAAAATGAATGAGAAAAATAAAAAAATACTAAACTAAACCTTACTTCGAAAATCGTCGTTACTGTACTTTATTGCACCGACCACCATCATCTGGTCAGCACACTTCAGAGTGTCAGTCGAACAGCCAACGAGCTGATTCTTCCTACACCATCATCATCATACGTGAATCATCATGAGACCACCATCTGAAACGTGCTGACTCCCACCACTGCCCACCTCTATCATTCTGTAGACAAAATTTTTCATTAGCGTAGTAGTAAATGAATGTTAGAATCTTAGAAGCAAAAAATTATAAAATGGAAACAATGGCAAATAAATAATATTTTAAAATAATGAAGAAAGTAAAATGTAAAAAAAACTTACCGTCGTCCATTCGACAAAGGCAGAATGTTGAATGCGGTTCGGTTCCTACGTTGTCCTCCAAAACTGGTGCCAGTCCTCCTCGAGATTGTTGTTGAAACACAGCCCCGTGTCGATGGAGAAAGATAGAGAAAGAGTAGATTCTCATCAGAAAGCTTAGCGGTGCCTGCATCTCAAATTGCTTAATAAAAATAATCCTATCTACCTATTCAATTACCTTAGCTAATATATATTAAATTATTAATGGTACGATAGTCGAAAGTCCCCCTTCATTCTCCCTCCTTGCACAGAGGTTCACCGACAGCCAGGGCACCGGATAGTAAACCATTGCCGTGCGGATAGTAGACTATTGCCGTGCGGATAGTAAACCATTTGCCGTCCGGAAGCCGTGCGGGTAGTAGACTATGGCCGTGCCGCATAGTAAATCATTACCGTGCAGATAGTAAACCATTGCCGTCCGGATAGTAAACCATTGCCGGTTCACCACTGGCCACCAAGGCTTACCTCTGACAAGGGACTTCGAAATTCAGAGTCTATCGGCTATCGTACCCTCAACTTACCTATTCACTACAATTAAGCCCTAGCTTACCTAATTTTACAAAACTCAAGAGCCCAATTCATTGGCCTTTCGGCACCCACCCCACCACCTACGTAATGCCTTGGGCTCCAACTTAGTAATAATAATATAAAACTTAAACCCTAAATC